GTTGCTCTTTCATCATGGTTCACACTCGATCAGTCCGAGCTGGTAATTCATCTCTGCCTCATGGGCAAGGTCAACCCTCAAACAACCTTCCACCTCAAATCCCACCTTTGATCTCACCTCAAATTCCAACTCAGCTTCCACCTCAGGTCCCAATTCTGTTCCCTCCTGTTGATCAAGCAGAAGGAGGAGATGAAAATTAACCTCATGTCTCAGCTCACAATTCAACCTCCATTGCCAATCAAGACGTGGTGACAACTCAGCTTGCTGCCATGCAGCAGCAGTTTGGTGTTTTTCAGTTGGTACTGGCTCAGCTTCTAGCTAGAAGTAATCCTGGCAATCCCCTCATTAATTTACTGAACCCTGCTCAACAACCCCCAGCCCCACAACCGAATCCTCAACCAGTTCAACCCGCTCCCACTGTTAGTGAATCCCAAGCTCAATCCCACATAGCACCTGCTCAGCAACCCATCCCAGATGATGTCACCCGACGCCTCGATAGCTTGGAAAAGCTAGTAGCTGAACACCGAGGTGCTCCACCCCCACACCATGCTGCTGATTCTATACCTCACCCCCTAAATACCAACATCACACTGGAACCCTATCCTACTGGCTTCAAAATACCACAGTTGGAGACTTATGAGGGGACGAAAGATCCCGATGACCACCTGCACGCTTTTTACTCTTGTATGCAAGCTCAGAACGCCTCTGACGCGTTAATGTGCAAGATCTTCCCCTCTACTCTGCGAGGTAATGCTCGAACGTGGTATTATAGTTTACCTCCGAGGTCAATTAGTTCTTACACAGAGATGGCATCTGCCTTTGCCACTAGGTTTTCCAGTAGAAGGTTGATTAGGAAAACTACTACCGAATTGATGCGAGTTAAACAGAGGGATGGAGAGTCCTTAAAGAACTACATGAGCAGGTTCAATGATGCGGTGTTGGAGGTTAATTCCTTTGACCAAGCTGTGGGCATTGCAGCTGTCATCTCTGGTCTCAAACATGACAGGTTCCGAGACAGTTTGATCAAACATGTTGCCACCACCTTTAGTGAGGTAAACGACAGATCTCTGAAATTTATAACTGCTGAGGAATACGCCCTGGCGCAAAACCCACCTTCCTCTAAGAACTAGAACCCAGAATGGCGAGATGACAATCCGAGCCGAAAAAGGATGAGAATGGCGCAGAACCGAGGTCCAGTGTTGACCCCCCCATCGAGATTCGGAAGGCCGAACTCCACGCCTCCACAACAATCTGCAGGTAAACCTCCAATTAATTGAACTCCATTTAATTTGCCGAGGTCACAAATTTTTATGCAGATAAAAAATAAGATGGACTTGAGACGTCCCGGCCCAATGCGAACTGCTGCTGCTAGTCGAGACCATACCAGATATTGTGATTTTCACCAGGATCACGGCCATACTACAGAGCAGTGTAACAGTCTAAAGTCCGAGCTGGAAAGTTTAGCTCAGAAGGGAATGCTGAATGAGTATGTACAG